GGGTGCATCGCAGCTCAGGTCTGCATCTCCCGCACCCCACCCTTGCAACATGGGGTCAGATTTGCATCTCCTGCAGTGCTGTCCATGCAGTGCTGGGGCAGATCTGCATCTCCTGCACCCCATCTCTGTATTCTGGGGCCAGATCTGCATCTCCTGCAACACTGTCCATGCAGTGCTGGGGCAGATCTGCGTCTCCTGCACCCCAGCCTTGCATTCTGGGGTCGGATCAGCATCTCCTGCAACGCTGTCCATGCACTGCAGCTCAGATCTGCATCTCCTGCACCCCATCTTTGCATTCTGGGGTCAGATCAGCATCTCCTGCAACGCTGTCCATGCACTGCAGCTCAGATCTGCATCTCCTGCACCCCATCTTTGCATTCTGGGGCCAGATCTGCATCTCCTGCACCCCAGCCTCGCATTCTGGGGGCCAGACCAGCATCTCCTGCAACGCTGTCCATGCAGTGCTGGGGCAGATCTGCGTCTCCTGCACCCCAGCCTTGCATTCTGGGGTCGGATCAGCATCTCCTGCAACGCTGTCCATGCACCGCAGCTCAGATCTGCATCTCCTGCACCCCATCTTTGCATTCTGGGGTCGGATCAGCATCTCCTGCAACGCTGTCCATGCGCCGCAGCTCAGCTCGGAGTCTCCCGCCCCCCATCCTTGCATCCTGGGCTCAGATCAGCGTCTCCCATTCGCGCGGCGCCGGGTCCATCCTGGCAGCGTGGCTGCAGCAGCGCAGCTCAGATCTGCGTCTCCTGCACCCTGTCCTTGCCGCAATGAGGGTGCAGCAAGAAAGGCTCGGCTCTGGGAGCTCCGGGAGCGTGCAGGGAGCTGTTTTCCATCCAGGACGCCGGGCAGTGAGGCGCTGGGCGTTCGTGATGCTCCCCGATGTCACCTCGCATCCCGGTGGCGGCGGCGCCGGCGGTGGCGGCCACGTCTTCGTCCACTTGGATGATCTCCACGGTGCGGGCGGCGGTGACGGTGGCGCGGCGCTGGTGGCGTTTGCGGAGCTTGTAGAAAGCGATGAGCATGGCGGCGGCCAGCAAGGTGACGGCCACGAAGCAGCCGATGATGATCTTGGTGGTCCTCATCACTTCGTCCAAGCTGGTGTGAGGCGCCTCGCGGTGCTCGGTGTCGGGGGGAGGCGCCGTGGGGCCGCGCCGCGTGCCGCGGATCAGGATGGTGGCGGTGGCCGTGTAAGCCGGCCTGTAAGCCGTGGGCGCCGTCGGTGGCGTGGATTTGGCGGCTTTGGGTGCAGCGGCGGCGTCATCCGGCGCCGCTTCGGTGGTCTCGACGGTGACGGTGGTGAAGAAGCTGTAAGCGGACGCGTCCAGCTCGGCGGCGGTGACGTTGAGGTAGGCGGATGCGTTGGCGCTGCCGGCGGCGTTGGCCGCCATGCAGGTGTAAAGGCCGGTGTCCGCCGTCAGCACGTGGGAGAAATTGAGGGTGCCGTCGTGTAAAACGTTTAAACGAGGGCGGGATGAAGCGTGGCTTAAAATCTGCCCGTCCGGTAGCAACCAACGCACGGCGGCCATGGCGCCGGTTCGGCATCGCAAAGCGGCGCCGCGGCCTTCGGAGATGTTGAGGTCGGTCGGAGCGTCGGCTAAGAAAGGAGCGGAGCAACGCAGGGCCGCCCTTTCCACCTCCAAAAGGAAGCGGCCCCGCATGGCCGGCGGCGCGTGGCAACGTCCGCAGCACGAGGAGTTGCTGGGGATGGATTCCCGCAGCCACGCCGCCAGCCAGAGCGCGTCGCAGCCGCAGGCCCAGGGGTTGTGATGGAGGTGAGGCTCCACCAAGAAGCGCAACGGGGCGAAGAGGTCGTGGGGCAGAGAGGAGAGGTTGTTGTGGGCCAGGTTGAGCTCGACCAGAGCCGTCAGCTCGTCGAAGGCGTTGCGTTCGATGGAGCTGATCTGGGAACTCATGATCCATAGTTTGCGTAAAGCGCGGAGACCGCGGAACGCAGCGGGATGAAGGCGGGGGAAATGATTGCCGGATAATTCCAGTTCTTCCAAACCGACCAAAGGGGTCAAATTGGGCACCTCTTTCATGTTGCACATCCCTAAATTGAGATACTTGAGGTTGTCCAAACCTTCGAACGCTCCGTCCGAGATGTACTCGAGTTTCTTGAGCTCGCCCAGGTCCAGGCGCAGCAGGGAGGGCACCCGGTTGAAGGCGTAAGAAGGGATGCTCTCGATGGGGTTGTTGCGTAGCCAAAGCTCTCGGAGTTTGGAGAGGTACTCGAAAGCCCCGCTGGGGACCACGGTCAACCAGTTGTCGAATAATTCCAAAGTATTGAGGTTGGCCAAGCCGCTGAAGGCGCCCACCTCTACCTGGCGGATGGAATTGCGGCCCAGCTGCAGCACTTCCAAGCGGTGCAGGTGACGGAAAGTGTCGGCCTGCACCAAGGCGATGTTGTTCTCCATCAGGTTGAGGTAGCGGGTGTTGGGGGGGACACCCGGGGGGGCACGGGAAAGGCCGCGGCGGGTGCAGACGACTTTGCCGGATTGGCCGCTGCAGGAGCAGGCGGAAGGGCAGGGAGG